AGCCCAAACTCAGGCCCAAGCCCAGATCCAGCAGCCGCCAGCACATTCCCAACTCCAAACTTCGCCGGAACAACGCCGAGACACCCGTCTCCTGACCGGTCCAAATCCGAATCCTTACGGGGCGCAGCAAATGCAGCCGCCGGCACAGACGACACCGATACAACCAGTGCAGCAGCCTCAAGCCAATGCAAGCTTCACATCCTCATACACAAACTCTGCTCTCCCCAGCGAGCGCGTCAGGTCACAGCAACCTCTACAAGCAGCGCCACCGACATCGAACCCACGGCCTACAACTTCACAGTCCTCTTTGTCTCGTCTCAACACCGGTGGTGATCTACATGTGCCCACTCCGGGAACTTCCGCCGCTCTACAATTAACAGGCCAGCATCCTCTACAGCAAACGCAGACAAGCCAACAGCAAGAGCAACCCTCTTCACCTCTGTACTTTCATCATTGGCAACCACCCGGGGAGCAAGGCAAGTCTAAAGACAAGGAGCAAGGAACACCATCAGGCAGGAGTGCGCACACATCTCCAAACACGCAACCCCCAGGATCTCACCTGCGCTCGGAGTACACCACTTCGCCCAAAAAGCGCAAAGCGACAGGGTCCCACCAGCCCGCGCCAACACCCTCCTCTCACACATCACCATCCTTCAACCACCAAGGCTCATCGGGTTCCACTTCTGGCCGACGCCGCCGACAAAATTCCAGGGCCAGCGATGGCTCTTCCCGTGCAGCGCATGAGAGTGGACGACAGAGTCTAGAGGGCGAGGCCGAAAGTAGCAGAAGTTCGGCGCATGCTGAAACACGCCACCCTCCAGCTCATCATGCGGCCGGGTCGGATAACAGAGAAATGAGGGAGATGAGGCATGCATCACGGGATTTAAGCGAGCGAAGCAGTCCCAAACGGGAGTCATGACCAGGCTCTAGTCTCTACCATTGGACAAGTCGAAACGTCGAGGATGATTTCATTTCCTTTCATTTCATGCAGGGTGCCATGGCGACCTGTCATTTGCGTGGTGTTATATGTTTGGATCTGGCATTCTGACCGGCTACTTATACCCTTCTCGCGCATCTTACATTGCATTTGGCGGTATGCATGTGTTGCTTGCATTTTGGTTGTCTACTACAAGTGCCCGGTATTTATACGCCCTGGGGGCACGGGCACAATTGACAGACTCCAGTCTATTCCCCGATATTTTGCATTCTTGTACCATACTTTTGACCTAGGGACATTTTGATCTCCGGATCGTAGGAAATTCAAGGCAGACGCAACGGCCATTGGGACCGCTGCTGCATGCATGCATTATCGTTCTCGCCACCATTTTGTTGGGTGGAAATTACTTGTCATTTCGCTTGGCCTTGGCCTGCATACCGCCCTCTCCCCGTCCAGCAAAACCGAGTTTAGAAAAGTCGGGCATAGATGCGCTTTGACGCATGCAACGTTGAGAAAATTGGAAAAATGAGACAGACCCATTTGACACCATTGACAAATGATACTCACTTCCGATCATCACTGCCGCGACCCGTCTTGGTCCAAGTAGTCCTTGCCCTTCATCCTCGCTCTGACAGTCTTAATCTTTAGCTGTGCAGCTGTGCAAGCAAAACCGAGATAGCCGTTATGTTGCGCATGAGTCTAATCCACCCTTGGCTCTAAGTCTTTTGCGTTGTTTTAGCTCCCGTTGCGCTTGCCGCCGATCATTTTTCCTACCAGTCACTTTGAGCTTCCAATGCACGCTGAAGAAAATACTTGCATCCTCGATGCTCGTCACCACTCTGCCTGTGCATCGGTCATGCTTGATCCACCTCGCCTCGTCCACCGACGAAACTTGCCGCCGAGGAAGATCCTTGGCAGGGCGTCCTTCATCGCTCGCTCGGCTTTTGTTCACGGTGCAACAGTGCCATCCTCGGTGCTCGTGTGCAAAGGCAGGCTTCCATTGGTCAGGCGCCATCGACATCGTCGAGTCATCACGGCCGTCATAGACCTGGCGATCGTGGCCGCTCCTGCAGGATCTGTCCATCACCGAGGGAACGGGTGCGGTAACCAAAGCTGAGCCGGATTCTGGGACGGAAATGTTTCCGTTCGAGTGGGAGTCTGACGGTCTGTGCCCTGGAGGATCCAACTCGGTACCTTACGGGTGAGGCGGTGGGCGCGGGACGGCTTTTTGACACTTGGGTGTGGGTGGCTGTTGCTGTTCATGGTATCGGATCGGATGGTTAGACATGTCGGCGTGTCTGTTGCTAGAAAGGAGCAGGGAGGGTCCGGTTGAGAGGAGATTGTTGGCATCGATTGTGATTTGCAGCTCTTTAAGTATGGTTACTTCTTTCCGCTTTCTCTCTCTCTCTATCTCTCTCTCTCTCTTTTTTTTTCAAGCATACGCAGCCTTGTGTGTGTTTCTCAGCTGTCTACCAAATCATCCTCGTCTCCACGGTCTGAGCCGAGATCGACCCTTCCCAATGTCTGAAGTCTTCGCAACTTCCGGCGTTTGCCGTCGCGACAGTCATTTCCGCTCTTGCACACGGCTTCCGGTGCCCCAGACTCTCCCTCGAAGTCGTACTCGCGTGGAGCCAGCCTTCGCTTAAAGGATGTACCTTCGAGACCAATTCTTCCGCAAGCTACAAGGTCTTGAAACATATACTTTCACTTTTCCGCATGTTCAACATGGATCTGTATAGTGTACGAGGGTACGAATCCATAATTATCCAATCGATCGGGATTCCTGTCAATCTAGGGTCACCCACCAATACCATATCGACCAGGAACTTTCTGCGGAAGAGCCACCAGGGGTAAGCCAAGTGTTCTAAACCACCCAAGTCTGACGGTTCGTCTTCAGGCCAAGTATCAAACAGCGCGTTCCCTGGCTATCCACCACAACACCTACGCTTCGTACGTTGCGGTTCGGGACCGAAAGCAAGATGGCGTCCCGACTCGATCATCAAAGGGGTAGCCACGAGGCACGAGCCGAACCTGTCCCTCTCCAGATACGCGCCTGTCAACCGCATCGAAGCCCCCTGGATGGCGGCTCGCACGGGAAGCGCATAGAGTCCACATCACCGCCACGTGCAACGATCGCCTCTCGCACATGGCCTCGCGTCTCTATCGTTACAGGCGAGTCGCTCACCCTCCATTCCACACCATCGGAGCAGCTTACTTCTCAACCGAGATTCCCCAGTCAGTACGCCGCCTCAAACGGAACCCCTACCCCTCTTCCCACCGCTTCCGCTTCCCTCGACGTGCAACACTCCTCCCTCCCTCCCTCCCTCCCTCCCCAACAATCCTAATCCCCTCAAACAGATCCTCACATGTGCCCGTTCCGTCCATTGTCAAAAGGCGGCACGCTGGGTGCCCCCTCGTCGGCTGCGTGGGTATCAAGCTACCTATCTATCTCCGATGAGTGAACCGTAAAAGCTTACCCCGACTGATCCGCCATCGCTCCCGATACGATGATTCCTCCCCAACCCCACAACGTGGCTCGCGTTACCCCGCTCCGACCGACAACGCCACGGACGCGGGCGTCTGCTCTGAGAACTTGGCCCGAGCATCCGTTTCGCCCTTTCCCTGCAACGATCCCTTCAACGATCCCTTCAAAGAATCCCGATCAAGCGCATCCTTTGGACTTCAGCTGGATCGGGCTCCAACGCTTATCCCCCCTAGGTACCTCATCTATGCCTGAGACCCAACCGTAGCTAATTTCACGCCCCCCCGGCCCCCCTTTCCCCCCCAAAAAACAACACGGCGCCATCATCACCAAGTCCCACCCTTCCCTTTCCTCGCCTTTCCTTTCTTCGCCCCACCCTCTCCTCTCCTCTCCTCTCCTCCCCTTTCACAAAACACCCGCCAGTATCTCACGTTCGCAATGCTCCATGGAGAAAACATGAGAGGCCGGATATGCCTCTTGCGCTTGGGCTGGCCTGAGGGGGCTTTTCAGGGCACGAGTCGGAGTCCAGGATAGGGACGGAGGGAACGGCTGAAGGCGCGGTTTGGGGCTTTGTCGTCACCGCTGAATGGTGGGGAGGGAGGGGTGTGGAGGGGAGGGAGGGGCTGGAGTTGGGGAAGGGATATGGAGTTGGGGAAGGGGTACGGAGCGAACATCCGTCCACAACACGGATTTGAGGGGGGGGGGGGACTTTGATGGACTCCGTCCATTTCCAACGTTATTGATTCCGTCCGCACGGCTGTCGATTTCATGAATAAATGCGACATCTTTCATTCACCCTCCCTTACTCGTAACCCCCCCCCCCTCACATTCCTCCCGCATTAACTCCTACCCACGTCACAAGGCGCGCAACTGTACCCCGGGTTACTCATATCGACGCGAGCAGCGGCATAGGGATACGAAACGGGCATTGTGCAATTTACCGGGGAACTGGACCGAATCCGCGTTCCACCATCTTCCTCACGTCTTCGGTGCCGGGAGTGTGGGTGGGGCGGAGATGGATGGATGGATGGAGGGAGGGAGGGAGTGTGGGGCGTAGATGGATGGATGGGGGAGGGATGGATGGATGGAGGGATGGATGGATGGAGGGGCGTAGATGGATGGAGGGATGGATGGATGGATGGAGGGAGGGATGGATGGAGGGATGGAGGGATGGATGGAGTGAGGGGTCAGCTTTGGGAGGAGGAGGAGGAGGAGTCGTGGACGACGGACCAGCGGAGTCGTACCACCATGAGCCGATGGGTAGGGGAGGGGGCTGATGCGTAGAGCGCATTTGGTGGATGGGAGTGGGTTCGGGTCAAGGGTTCATCTTTGGCGGTTAGTGTGTACAGTGTGGAATCATTGGGTGCACCAGCAGCTCATTCATGTGGTGAGAAGCCGAAAACATCTTGTCAAGACGCGGGTGGGGTATCAAACTACAAGTACAATTGTAGAGAACGGTATACAGATTAAGAACAGAAGCGCCATTCGCCCGTGCTAATGCTGGGATCCTATCCGTCTGACCGGCAAACACCTTCGCTAATGCTGATATTTAATGATGGGTAACAGGTATACGGTGAACGCTCATTGCCGAGAGGGTTTTTCAGCTGCTCCATCTGTCAAAGACAGCGGCGGGACCTTCCCGTCCTCCTCAATAGTACTGGCGAGTCCGTCCTGGGTCGTCATGTGGGTTATTGAGTTCCCGGAAGATCGATGGAGGAGCGTAGGTCGCGGCGTTAATGCGGCGTCATCGTTGGGAGAATATAGAGCTTGCGGGTCTTTGCCGTGATATGGTATAGCATTCCGCGAACTCATGCGCTTTTGGAAGCTGGGTCTTGTGGGATGTGAAGACTTTTTGTTCTCGTTCTGGGCTCTCTCGATGACTTTCGAGGCTAGGTCGTGGGCGGTGCCCTGCAGGTCAGGCATCGGTTGATCAGCTTGGTTTAGGTAGCCTTCCAGCATGGATTTGAGCACAGCGGCCCTCACAGGCTTGGCCAAGTAGTTGTTCATCCCCGCTTCTAGACACTTCTCTTTATCGCCTTGAATGGCGCTAGCTGTCATGGCAATGATCAACACCCCTCGTACCACGGGGTCCTCGTCCATGCGTATGAGTCTGGTCGCGTCGTAACCGTCTAGCACGGGCATCTGAACATCCATCAAAACGAGATGGAAAGGGTTCTTCTCAGATGAACGCTGGCGAAGCGCTTCGACTGCTTGTAAACCGTCATTGTATGCTTCTGATTTGAAGCCGAGCTTGGAAACGAAGGAGACTGCAATTCTTTGATTGATGGGGTTGTCCTCCGCTATGCATATTCGAAGTTCTTTCCGCGGGATCTGTGAGAGGTTGAAAAAGGACGATTTTGACGATGATCCCCCCTCAGAAGACCAGATGGCCATTGCGTCTGGTGCTTGAGCGGCTATTGGAGCACGGCCCTTCGTAGCCGTTTTCGCTGCTTTTGGAAATGTGATGGTAAAATAAACGGTCGTACCGACACCCACTTGACTCTCCAGAGATATTTTTCCATTCATGACTTCGATGAGCGCTTTGCAGATGGAAAGACCAAGTCCACTACCACCAAATTCACGTTGAGTGCTGCTATCGGCTTGGGCAAATGGCGTGAACAGTCGAGATACTTGGTCTTGAGTAATTCCGATGCCGGTGTCGGCAACCGAGCAAGTGACCGTAAGACTTTCGCTATCCTCGTATTCCCGCTTTGCTCTAACATGGACTGATCCCTTCTTCGTGAACTTGTAGCTGTTGCTCATTGTGTTCATGAACAACTGGTGTAGCCTCACGGGATCGCCCAAAACCAGTAATTCGGGGTCTAGATCTAGGTCCATCTTGGTCTCGAGTCCTCGCTCATGGTTCGTATAGATCAAGGCCCGGACAACCTCCAGTATGGTCTCTTTGAGGTTCAAAGGGGAATAGTAAAGTTTCAATTTCCCAGCCTCTAGCTTCGAATAGTCAAGTATATCATTGATGACAATCAAGAGTGTATCGGCGCAAACCCGAATGGAATCTGCGAACTCCTTTTGGTCGTTGTTGAGGGGCGTTTCTTTCAACAATTCGGACATACCAATGACGCCGTTGAGCGGGGTGCGAAGTTCGTGCGATACATTAGCAAGGAAGATGCTCTTAGCTTTAGCAGCTTCCTCTTTCAACCTGACGTTCTCCCTGGCCTCGGCTTCTGCGTTTTTGGCTTTGATTTCTGCCTCTCTAGCCTTCGCAAGTGCACGCTTTTGACTCTCTATCATGCTCGTGTTTGAGGCCGATACTTTGGCAATGCGCTTGAAAAGCAAGGCGTTGGCGATAGAGATGCCGACCTGGTTGCAGAAAAGTCGGAGTACACCTAGATTGCGGTCGGTAAAAGAATTGGATTGGCCTTCGAGATACAAAATCCCGAGCAGATCTTTCCCTCTAACAATGGGTAGCGAGATCACGGACTTGGCCGACGCATTGGTAAGGAAACGCTCGTCGTGGGCCAGGTTATGGACGAAGACAGCCTCTTTGAATCGCATTGTGTAGAGGAGTACCTGTTTTTGGGCTTCATTCCGAATCTCGGTTATTGGCTGGGCCTCAGCAGATATGCCTTCTGATGTCCCACTTGCAGCGATGCACCAACCATTATCACCTTCGATGATGACTGCGGCAAAGTCTGCTTGGGCACCTGCAGATTCCAGGATGATCTCCGTCATTGTAGCTAAGAGGCGATCTATCTGTAGTTCAGAGGATATCGCCTGGTTGAACTCCAAGATACTCTGCAGGTCGAGAACATCAAGCCCCAAATCAGAGACGTCCTGATCGACGATCTTCGCACGGCCATCAGTAGCTGTTGGGGAGACCCAAGCTTGGGTTCTATCACCAGCGGTTTCTTTGCCCAGATTCCTTGTTTCTTGACGCTCATTCTCCTCGATGCGGAACTGTGTATTGCCAATGTCGCCGATAGCATCCGCCGTCTGTACAGCAACGTCCCTCGTCTGTGTCGTTGTTGATGCTCGAAGTACCCATTCGTGCTTTACGGCCAACTGGTCCACTTTCCCAGTTGCACCGATGCGCGAATACATTGTTAATGATTCTTTCAAAATAGCACGCGCAGCTCGCCTGGCTCCTCGCCGAACATAGAATTCGCCTTGCAATTCCAAGGCCAGAGCATGTTCGAGTAGGAAGTCGTAGAGTTGTGTATGGTCAATCGCGGCCTCGTACGACTGGATTGCCTCGCCATAATGGCCCTCTATATCAGCCAATTCAGCTTCAATCAAAAGCTCCCACATGAGATAATTAGCATTGCACTGAATTTGCCATTGAGCTATGTGTGCTTTGTACTGTCTGACCTTGGTAAGGGTTGTGTCGCGATCTTGATCACTGTTGCCCTCGCGAAGTTGTGCGACATAGCATAGTGAAGCGTAGAAGAGGGTAAGCCGAGAGATCCGCAAACTCCACAGTTGGTGAATGCTGGTTGCAATCTCGTTACTGAGTTGAATCGCCTTTTGGTAGTGTCCGTAAAGGTAAAGCGGAATCATTTGCAGGCTGTTGTAGATATTTCGAGGTCTTTCAACATTGGAGGAACGTGCGTCAATCAACTCCATATAGTTCGCTGTACTATGCTCCTCATCGGACATTACCATTTCCGGAGATTCTGTATAAGTCTTTCCTTGGAGCGAACGGGCAACTTGACGTGTTGCAGTCAGGAATACACCACCTCTCATGTCTACATACTCTATGTCAGCCATTGTTGTGTACATATCGCCAAATGTAGATTAACCTACCTGAAGCCCAATCACCAAAGTCCTCCGCTCCTACCGAGCAGAACAACTCGATGTTCGCTAAATTGTCACCGATGTAAAGGCGCCGAAGGGCGATACTTCCCACGGAGAGAAGATACACATGCTTGTCTCCGGACACAAGGGACTGATCAATTGCTTCCTCCAGGGAATCAAGGTGATCTCGTATGGGCGTGAACAGATGCGCGATGAAGAGCGCAGAGACTGCCAATCCTCGGCCAAGCGTGTACGGATCTCCATGTTGGCTCAAAAGCTGTTTCGATAAATCATGCATCTGGAGGCCAAATGGGAAATCGTCACTTCGACTGATGCACACAAGGGCAAAATATGAGAAACCAAGGCCGACTTGGGAGAACGTGCTCGGATGGGTCATATGAGTCTCAACCATCTTGAGTACCAGCTGATAGAACTTTGAGGGTGATCAGTGATGGGGTCAAAATTAATGGGATTATAGAAATCAACACACCAATATGGTATTGCTCCAAAAAGCTGCGCTCGTTGCCTCCATTAACACTGCACCTAGAGCCACCATGTTGCAATCTGCGTCCAGCGCCTTGCTATTGAGATCCGCGAACTTCGCTTCTTGTACCAGTACGCGCAAGTCGTGACACTCTTTATCACAGGACGCCCAAGTTGGACTGTCAGATAGGTCAACACCTAATTCAAGCAAAGACGTTTTCAGCGAGCTGAAGCTCCCCGCCATGTTCCCCGCTTGTGCAAACAACTTGGACTGCAAGATCCAAGCAGGAGCCTTGTCGCTGGCTGTACGCGCACCCGCAAAAATAGAGTCGAGCAAATTTTGAGCCTCGATAACTTGATCCTGATGCCAATAAAGCTCAGCAGCTTTGGTATACAGACTGAGTGTCTCGTCATAGTACGCGTCATGTGCTCCCTCTTTCCAAGGTTCCGGCTGCATCAAAGCAAGACATGACTCGTAATACTGTAAAGCTGTTGGTCGAGCGCCAGACTTGATTGCCCTCTCAGCAGCTTCGGCTAATAGGGCCCGGAAGCGGTGACGGTATGCCACACGATCCCTGATGACGCTGGCACATTGACAGATGTGTCGAGCACGATCGTACAAAGAAGCACTATCTAAGTCCAAATATTTCATCATTGTTTGGACTATGATGAAATGCATCTTCTCTACGTCGTGACATTCTCTCAGAGACGCCGACGCTCGAACATATCGATCGTGTGAGAAACTGAACTCGTCCTCGTTGCTGCCAGGCATAAGAACGTATGCCTGAAGGGTTGCCTGTAGGCCCTCCACTACGTTCTTTGTTGGTTGTGGAGTGAAAAGCTCCGCGACCTTTGGACAGTCGTCTTCCTCGTTCATCCCATCGCTATCGAGATAATCGAATTCGCCACTTAAGAGTCTCTGTGTTAATTTGAAAGAAAAAGTGGTCCCCAAGAGAGAGGCCCAAGCAAGAATGGAACGCGCAGCTTGCGGTAGGTCTAGCAACTGCTTTGTGATGAAATCCGTATTTAGTTGTTCACCATAAGAATCGGACACAAATTCGGCAAAAACCCTGTCAAGGTCATACTCCCACATGGATTCCTTCCACGAGTACCAGATACAGCTTTTTCGATGACAGACTTCCAGCATTTGTCTCAGGTAGAAGGGATTTCCACTCGACTTTTCTAAGCAGACCGCTGCCAAGGGTAGGCAATACTCCGGTGGTCGAAAGATTGTTGCAGATACATAATTAACAACGTCTTGTTCGCTCAGGGGTGACAACTTGATCATTGTTAGGTTGGCGGCTTTGTTCCTCAGCACGGATTCGACAGGCCTTGAGAGCGTTTCCTCGTCTCGGCACGTCGTTATGATTACTATCCCTAGCTTCTTAAATATGACGTGGGAGATCAAATCCAAGCTTTCTTCATCCGCGAATTGGATATCATCGAGACACAGGCAAATCAACTTGTTGGTAGAGAGGATGCGCAGAACTTCCACAAAGATAGTCATGAATTTTAGTGATCGGGGATTTGCCCCTTCGCGAAGGAAGTCAGAGCCTGTTTGATTTCCAGCGCTCATATTGCCACTGAGGGCACTACGTGCGCTGCTGTTGTCGCCGATTTCGCCTCTCCGGGATCCGTTGAGCCCCTGCTGCGAGGAGAAGCTTGTAAGCTTGTGAGTGTACTGCACGTCTGTCGATATCAAACTCTCTGGTATATCCAGCATGCTGCAAGTCGTAGGCCACAAGCTACGGATGTGCTTGCGCACCATATTATGGTATTCGCTATTGACGTCGCTCTCGGAGAATATCTGTCGGAACAAGGATCCCATCGCTCGTAGGAGAGGTTCAAATGGTGCTTTTCTTGCTGGATCAAATTTCGAGGAAGCAAAATAGCCCAACGTGCGAATGTCAGCTTGCGTACTTTGGATCAAACTTGACTTCCCAGCGCCAGCTGCGCCAGTGATAGATATAAGTTCACAACGATGTCTTCGTAAAGACTTATGGCTACTCTGACGTCTTGGGGTCTGGATTGGTCCATGGTGTTGCATACCAGAGCTGTCTGGCCTGAGGCCACTTTTCTGCGTCTCTAGCGTGATCGTGGTCTGAATGGATTCGTTGCTGTCATTGGCTTCAAGAGGAGGCTTTTCAACTGGTGCCGCACTGGAGCCAACAGTGTTGTCATGGGGGCTATGCACAAGTACTTGGGTTGAGGAATATGGACCTAGGGCTGGGCTGCTTTCTGAATTTCTGCCGGCTATCGAGCTTGTATCACTGGACTTAGTGCCAGTCTCAAGACCGTCAAAACCTTCACTCATGGCCGAGGTACCCGAGGTTGAGCCAAAAGCATAGACACCGAGTCTACCTCTGTCTTCAGACGATTCCTGCCACTTCGCGACCTTTTCGATCACTTGGACTATCCTATCACGCTCTTCGTTTCTCCCAGCAATGTACGTCGGAAGCACAAAAATTGATGACACATCTTTAGACCCAATGCTGAATTCTGCGAGTCCGTCATTGTCGCCTTCTCCAAGCAGCCTTTGCACCTCGACAAGATCATACTTCAACCCACTCGTTGAATGATATCGGTCATCCATTTGCTTCTGGGTCATCTTCTGAATGATTTTAGCAATGACATCGGGAATATCAATGCGCTCGGACGAGACTAGAGGGATCCTGCGACCAAGTACCGCCTGTATGATGTCGATTGGGATCTCGGCTTGGAATGGAGGCCTTCCAGTAAGCATGATCCAAAACAGCACCCCGAGTCCATATATATCAGTTCTCGAGTTTGGCTCCGCAGGCATCCGCCCAGTCTGCTCTGGGGCGACATGCTGGAGTTTGTAGTTGACCCCAATTTCGCGTGATAATGTCATCCACCCACTACTTGTCAAGCCATTCTCGAATGACCGTGGTCCGGAGCCAAAATTGATGAGTTTGACAACCCCGTTGTCACGATTGAAGTGAAACGCGTCAGCCCTAAGCTCTCCATGGACGACTCTCGATCCATAATGTAGGAGCTCAAGACACTCGCAAGCACCAATCGCAAAATCAAGGAACGTCGACAGGGACACACGGCCTTGAGATTCGGTAGCATCGCTTTTTCCAAAGACATCACTTCCATCAGGGAATCTCGGAGCGAGAAATGCAGGACCAAGATCCAACAGATCTTTCACATAATTTCTTCCTGGTGATTCGAATATCGACACAATAAGTGTTGCCTCGTCTCCTTGATGGCTTGGCAACATGACGAGGTCCAATGGTTTGACAGTGTGTACAATGTCTGGGTCCGAAGTCTGTATGAAGCTTTTGCAAAGATGATGTTCGCGTTCGATGCGCAAGATATGGGTCGAGATCCGAGCAACAACCGGAGTATATGTTCTCTCCCCATCTAATCGTAACGATCCCAGATCATTGGTTCCTGCTGTACCTTGAGTGCCTTGGCTTCCAGTGCGGTGATGTCTGAGTGAAATTCGTGGGCCGAGACGAGGCGAGCTCGCGGTCGAGTTTGTTCTTGCAATGCCTTGGAAAGAAGAGCCGCCTGAGGTCTCATGGCTCAAATGTTTGAGACCAAAGACGTGCCAGTTGTCGTAAGTCTAGCCCCAAGCAAGTCAGCAAAGATGCCTTTAAGAGGCCTTGTCATCCCTCACCGAGTGAAATGGTTGGATCGATTGATCCCATGTGTAGCCGCTTAGTTGGGAAAGCCGCTCATATAGGCGAGGAGGAGGTTGCAGCGCCTGTCCACCTTCTGTACTGTCCGGATCCCTCATGGTGTCATTGTTCATGTAGACATAGCAGAACGCTCATGTCGAGGAGCAACCGCGACGGACCCTGGACGTGAGCCCACTTTGGACGCCCAAAGCAACCGAAGTGGAGCCGGGTAGCGCCTTGGCATGTTCAACACTCCTAGTGGTCCCTTCAAGCTTTCGGACAGATGCCATATGACACAAGTGTCACCGCGCTATTAAACATCATGTGCAGAATAGAGAGAATGCTATAAATCCATGCAGGAAAGGAGACCTTTGAAGAAAACACGGGTTGTCAGCTTCTAGATCCTTAGTTCCCCATGTTGACTGCAGTGGAACAGTCTGTCCGAGTCTTCATTTTGAACACATTGTAGCAATGAAAGGGAAGAAAGAGACTACAACGTGCTTCGTGTTTTGTGATGATAATGATTGTACACAGAAAAGGGTATCGCTGCTTCAACTCCGTGTGCACATATAGGCAGACAGGGCTGTATTCAGAACATTCCTCCACCCATTCCGCCCATCCCTCCACCCATTCCGCCCATCATCATGTCTCCGAGAAGCATACCCCCCATCAGTCCACCAGCTAACGGCAGACCATATCCGCCACCATAACCTGTACCATATGGTCTTGAGTATGGGTACTGCGGCCTGACGAACGTAGCATTGGGGTTGGCATACGGCCCTTGCGTGTACGGATTATATCCATAGCCTCCCCGCGGCGGCCCCATGCCCTGTGGAGGCTCGATGTAGATATCCTTCCCATCCTTCCCCTTGCCAACATGCTGCGGCTCTCCAGTCTGTGCAGCCCTCGACATTGCCTGCCGCAACTCCTGATGGCGCTGATAAGCTCGTCGCTCCTCCTCTGCGCGCTGGGCCCGTTCTTGCTCTCGCTGCTCGTGGGTTGTGTGCGTCATCTTGTCCTTCATCTTGCGACCGAACTTAGTGACGCCGGTAGGTGGATTGGGATCACGGGGTGGAAGTTCTGCGGTGCCGATACCGGCCTGCTTGGAGTGGTGATGGTGGTCGCCGTCGTCATCGCTGCTTTCTGCTGCAATATCGGCCTGGCTTGGGACTCTGAGAGAACCCTTGATCTTTTGTCTCTCTTTTGAGTCTAGGCTATTCATGTATTGTTCGTCGTCATAAGGATGGCACCAGATTGATCGTGGTGGCTCGACGTTCGTGTCGACGAAAAATTGGTGGTGGTTTTGCGGGTCGTACTGTCTGATCCAGCCGTAAGGCAGAGGCCGGCCTTCGTCTTCCATGCTGCGGCGGGTCTGTGGTGGAATGCCATTGCGTGCTTTGTGTGGAATGGAGGTGTTCGTGTTTGTGTTCGCAGGTCTGTTCGAAGAACTTGAAGATCCTGCGACCTCGTCGTAGGAGGGTGGCGCGTCTGTAGGCGTAGGATCCATGATTGCTGATTTCAGTGAAGAATTTGTCTGAAGGTTTGCTCTCTTGGTGGATCCTAACAATGAGACGCTGTAGGTTCTATAATTCACAAGGAGGCAAAATGCAAAAGATTTTCAATATGGGATGGTTGTATCCAATGCATGACGTTGCTGTTTTACGACTACGAAACATTTGACGCTAACTCTTAACGCCGACTCCCCGCCATAGAGTGCTTCTTGCAATAGCTAGCCACATGTAGTATAGCTACACTTGGCGGAGGGGATATCTTGCTGCAGCTTTCATCTCCTACACACACGAAAAACTTTCGCATAACGCTTATGCTATATTATTGAGCTATAGAAAGTAGATATATATATTTAAAGTACTTAGTAAGATTAATACCTCTTTAATTAGCTTTAGAGAATATTTATATCTTTATAATTATATCGAATAAGACTAGCTAGCCTTAATAAGACTATAATAGCTACGATTTTAAGAAGTATATATTTATACTAAAGTTGTTAATAAATATTATATTAAAAATAATAAATAAAGACTAGAAACTATTAATAAATAAAGTAGCTACTATTTTTAAGATAGCGATAGTATTTATAAAAAGAGTAAATAATAAATTTAAAATTTAGATAATTTTAAATAAAGTATATAAACTAGCTATTAACTTAAGTAATCGAGATAATAATATAAAGAAAAAAATTATATATATTAAGTATTAGATAGTTAGTCTAGAAAGTAATATATTAATAATTAATTACGTTAATATACTAGACTAATTCTCGATATTCTTCTCTATTATTAAAGAAATCTTTATTATATTATTAGTAATATCGAAATAAGATTAAGTATTATATAATAAGCTAAATAAGATTATTATAAAGTTATAAAATAAGATAATAAATAAAGTATTAAAGAAAAAGATATCGAGTAAGATAACTACGATAGTTAATAGATATATAAAGAGTATAAATATTATAAGAAAATCTATTAAAACGACTAGAAGGCTAGCGAGTAGCGATATATATATTATAATTGCAAATAAGAAGAAGGCGAATAAATTAAAAAAAAGTAAGAATTAGACTTTAAAGATAAGTAATAACGCGAGAGTAATTACTAAAATATATAGCCTTCTACTCTATAAAGTAAGAATTAATATATTCGATATTAAAGATATAGCTATAGTAATTAAAAGGATTTAAAATAAGAATATTAATACGCTAAGCCTCGATATAGTATAGCTAGACTAGTTCGGCGCGAATAAAGAGAGTTATAATAAGAGTTTATTAATTATCGAATTAATATCTCTAGAGAAAGAAAATAAAGTACTAGAAGAAGATCTAGTTATCGATTTAAAATTATATAGCTATTACGTCTATAATAAGTAGTATAAATTAAAGTAATACTTCGTATACTAGAAATACGATTATCTATCGACTATATATCCTAAAAAGAATTATTTAATATATAAGAAATACTTAGAAGAGTATTATTATAAAGAATATATAGCCGATACTCGTAAATACCCAGTTTACGAGGGATTATATAAGGCTTAAAATAAGATATATATAGTAAGAAAGAGAAAGATAGCGAGAATGAGAATAGCGAGATAATAGATTTCTTTACGATTTATAATAACGAAGAAGATATCGACTAGCTATTAAATAAGCGATTAATTAAGTAACTACTTTTAGAATATATTTAATCGTAGATGAAATAAGGAATTTTTTTCGAGGCTAATATTCACGCGTAATAGGCTAATAGATAGAGATAGAATAGTTAATAAGAGAGGAATTAGAGGGCTAAACCTCGAAAGAACTATTATATCGAATCTTTAGCTAAGTAAAAGAAGATATACTTTTATATTATTAATAAGGGTTTCGTTTAGAAATAGATCGCTCTTTAAAGTAGTAGATAAAGCTAAATAATATAAGAATAATATAGCGATAGAGGAAATTAATAACTTCGAGAATAATAGATAGTCTCTAAGTTAAAAGAGTAGTAATAAGAGAATTACGATCCTCATTAATAGAAATAAAAAGAGATATATTTAATTTATCGACGACTAAGAAAAAAAGAATATTTAGAAAAGAAATATAAATTTTATAAACTAGGCGGAAGCGAGTAAGTAATATTAATAATAATATTAAGAAATAATAGTATATCTTAATTAGCTATTAATACTATAATATAATATAAGAAAATTTAAAATAGTTATAATAGAACTCTTCGATAATAAAAAGATTTATAATATCGATATAGTAGTAATTTAGAAGTTCTAGAGAAATACTAATATAAATATATCGTATTATTCTCTAAAGAATAGATTTAACTTAATTTATCTCTATTATAATAATATATAAATATACTTCTATATTAATAAGAGAATATTATTAAAGTAATAGTACTTATTATATTACTTATCGAACCTCTATACTCTTAATATTAAGTTTAAAAATAATAGAATTATATATATATATAATATTTATAATCTCGGCGATTAATAAATAGATAAACTTAACGAACTATATAAGACGCTTATAAAGTCTAAGAATAACGAATAGATTATATTAGGCGACTTTAACCTTTACTATATAATATAAAGAAAATTAAATACTCGTATTAATAAGAGAGTAGAAGAATTAATATTTATAGCGAAAGAATTCGCTATAGAATAAGCATTATTAGTAGAAATAGTAATATACGAAGAAAACTATTAAATAATAATAGATCTATTATTCGCTACTTTAATACTAATAGTAAATATTATTAATTATAATATTAAAAATAATTTTAAAAGCGAATTTAACTATCTTCTAATTTTTATAAAGCTTAAGCTAATTATAATAGAGTTAGTATTAATAATATATCGAAACTTTAATAAACTAGATGTCGAGATTTTAAAAAAGATACTCGCTAGAGCTATAGCATCGAAAAAGTATCTAATTAATTCTTAAGAAAATAATAAAAATCTTATTAACGATAATATCGATTATTAAATAATAACTATTATTAACTTTATTTAAGCGGCTATAGAGGAGTCTACCTCGATTATTAAATTATTATTATAATCTAGACTAAGATTTATATTAGAATATAAGAAAGTATAAAGATATTATAAATTGCTAAAAAGAAGCTAAAGAATAACGCTCTTAAAGAAAGTATAGAATAAGTATAAAGTTATTAAGAACTTCAAAAATAATCTAATTAAGAGAATTACTAGAAAGGCGTTTAGAGAGTTCGTAGTAAAGGCGTATAAGTCGCTATAAATAATATAAAAAAGATTAAATAAGTTAGAAAATAACTTATAATATAGATATATCTCTCTCTACTATTTAATAAAGATAAATAAAAATATAATAAACTAGACTTAAAGATAGATCTTCTTATAAAAACGTTCTTCTTATTATTAATATAGACGAAGTTAGATAATATTAACGTTAATACGATATACTTATAAGCCTATTTAATAGATATAATTATCGTAAATAAGATAAGAAAGACTATAATATAAGTATCGTTAAAGAGAGCTTTAGAGGAAGACGCGATCTCTAATCTAATTCTCAAGAAGATCTTAAAGTTATTACTCTCTTATTTATATAGAATATTTAATATATATATAATAAACGACTACTATCTAGAGTACTTTAAAATATTAATAATAATTATTCTTTCGAAGTTAAGTAAAAACTATTTAATTTCTAAAGAATACTAACTAATAGCTCTACTTAATACTATAGAAAAGGTAATAAAATTTATTCTTACTAGAAGAATAGTATATCTTATAAAGATATATAGACTTCTATTAGTTATATATATAAGAGGCCATAGATTACGATTATGTAAATACGATATTTACTATCTTCTAGAAAGAATATATTAAGCTTAGAACTCTAATAAAATAGTTATAATATTACTACTAGACGTTTCAGATATATATAATAAAATCTCTTATCCTCGACTACTCTATAATCTTTAAAAGCGAAAAATCGATATAAGAGTAGTTAACTAAATAGAATCGTTCTTATTTAATAGAATAATAATACTAAAAATAAGCGAATACTTTATATTAAAGACTCTTATAGCAATCGAAATTTCTTAAGAATTATCGCTATCGCCTATACTTTATCTCTTCTATAACTTAAATCTTATCGATAAATATAATAATCGCGTCGACTTAAGAATAATAGTTATCGACTTTATAGATAATATAAATCTTTTAATAGTAAGAGACTCTATCGAGAAAAACTATAACGCTCTCTATAAAATCTACGACGAAGTTTATATAAAGTAGGCGTTATAATATAAATCGAAGTTTAATTCTAATAAATATTAACTATTATATCTTAATAGAAAATAGAGATTTAGCTTAGATTATTTTCTATAACTTAATAAGAGATAATATATTAAGGCGAGACGCTTTATTCGCTATCTAGAAGTCGAAATTAACTTTAAACTTCTATAGAGCTATTATAATAAGAAGATTCGATCTAAGACTATTAAAAGTATCGATATATTAACGAGGATTATTAGATTAATATAAGATAATAATTATAAGAGTATAAGATAGCTTTATTAAATAGTAATTATTCTATAAATAACGTATTACTACTTAATATAATATTAGCCCGAAGATATTATTAATTATAATAAAACTTATCTCTTATCGCTATAAAGAATTTAATCTTAGATAAAGAGAAAGATAACTAGAGTATTTAAGGTTATATTTATTTTAATACTCGATATAAAAGCGTATTTTTTATTAGTTAAATAATAGCTAGATAAGATTATCTCGAAAGCTATTTTATAAATTACTACTAGTCTAGTATATAGCGAGATTATTAAGCTATAATTCGAGCGATAGAAGTTTAAAAGAAAATCTAAAAAGAATAGGAAACTAAGTCTATTAAAGCGATATATTAATAGATTTAAAGAATAATATAACGATATTAATAAGATTAAGAAACTACGCTTTTTTAGCGTCGCCTTCGACTAAGAGTCTTTTAAAATA